CAAAAGGTCCTGATTTTTGGTTACTAACTATGAATAATTACTACCACTACTGTTAGAGAAAACAACCATTTATGTAACTGAACTTTTGATTCACAAGTTGATATTTGTGTGTATGACATCTTGTCACAGTCACCCCTTTATCATTAGTTCTGTGTGTTATTGAACCAAAGCCTTTTCAAAGACCTCTTTTCTAACCTGCGGTGATCATTTGCTCCCAGTCAGTGCGGGCAATGAGGTAAAAATCGTGACATTTTATGTATATCTTCATTTGGATAATAGTGTATTAGATCCTCTATTAAATTCTTTCTGTTCAGCTCACATTTATGAGTCAGAGCTCAGGACAGCTGACTGAAGCCACATTGACCCAGATTAGCATCTGGATATGAAATATTTAACCTTTAAAATAATCCTGCAGCTAGAATCATTGACAAATGACCTCGGTTCCTCTTCTGGTGTCTGCTTATAATCACTGTTCTGTATGTTTGATTGCCTATGTCTCATATGCCATGAGGTCAACTGAAAACAGAAAAAAATATAGTTATAATTAACTTTTTTTCGTTTAACTGGGCTAGATCATTCAAATCTGTGGCATGCATATTAATGTTCTTTTGCCTATTTTTCCATAGCAACCTTAAGCCTCGCACACACCGGGACGATTATCGCGCGCGCTTATCGCTGACGTTTTTCGATGCGCCTTTTGTGTTCATACCCAAGCGATTTTCGCAGGCGATGAACCGAGTGAACGTGCAAATTCAGTCCCTGACATTAGATGGCGTTTAATGAAAAACAGAAATACCCCGGTACACATCGAATCCTATTTAGATCTGCAATTCCTCTCCATAACAACTCCCTCTTATCGAGATTTTTGTAGTCGTGTAGCGGTTTGTCATAAAGCCCTTTGTGTTCAGACACCAATGAGACCAGCAGCTCTACATTCATCTTGCCTCGATGCATCTTCTTGGTCTGCTTACTTCCTCTTCGTCGTTAGGTATCAATGTGTGCTCGGCAAGACCGTTTTGTGCTTGAGCGCCACCAAGTCGTGTTTTACTGTAACTTCAGCAGCTCCAGGCACGTGAACAAAAGCGCCAAACTCATTGGTCGGCCAGTTTTTAACGAGGCGCGTCAAACCAAAAAAACGAGCCCGAGG